ATCTAAAAATTGTCTGCTCCAATTAAATTTACAAAAAGTTACAATCTACAGTGTACAAAAGTTTGCATAACCTTCTGCCTTCGTTTCACAAAAGGTCGTTTCTAAAGGGCGACCAGCAGACCATGCAAAAAAACTATTCATTTTAAAACACAAACAAATAATGTATATTAGTATGATAAGTACGAAATAGCAAGGCATTGGAAAGATGTGATGTACATGTATACATGTACATTGTACATGTATGTATAGTACCGGTAGGTCTAGATCAGGCCTTCTCAACTAGTTTATGAGAAGTGCCAAAACGAAAAGAATTTGTAGTTGAAGTGCCACCCTGTATGGTTGACTGTTCTGCGAGGGAGCGTAGCAACTGAGCCAAAAATGGGTGGGTTCCAGGGGTGAAGCCCTAACGGGGGTAGCAGGGGTCGGTGCCCCTGAAGATGGTGGAATTAGGGCTTTCAAAAGGCCCAAATGGGGCATTTCTAACACTATTTCATTCCACAATATAATCAATCATATTAATTTCATATTGATGTGAAAAAACAGTACAATTCCTGGGTACAATTACACTGGAGGTATATTTATATGTAGTTTTTTGTGTGCAATAAACACGGGAAATGTAAAAATAAAATGAAAATCAAACAGACAAAAACAAGATGTTTCCAGAGATTGGCAATGTTAAAGTTGGTATCCCATCGTAAGCTTATTTGTTGTTCAGACCTTATAGTTTAGAATCGTATAAAATGGTAAAAAACGATAAATTCCTCTTTCTCACTGTTTGTTAAGCAGGCATTTTGGGCTCAAATTCAACTGCAACTTTTTGATTTAGCTGAGTATTTAATTCTAAAATATATATTTTCTTTCTTTCTGTTTTTTGTTTTGTTGTTGCAACAGTGGCGCGCCACTCCCACTGACCGCAAGCGCCACAAGTGGCGCGCACGCCGCCAGTTGAGAAGGCCTGGTCTAGATGTATGCACAGGTGTACATGTACATGTACATGTACATTGTAGTTTGTTTGATATACACTGTAGCTTGCATACTGTCAGGCACATTTTTATACAGGTCCATACAGAGAAGAAATCTCAATTACATGTAGGTTGAGAATACATAATGTATGTGCTACCCAGTATAATATGAGAGTACATGTACATGTACATGTATGTAAATGTATTTCATTCATTCATTCAATCTTAAATAGATAAATAAATAAACATACATGTAATAAATATACTGATAAACAAATAAATAAGTATGATAAATAAATACACCTAAAGTTCCTAAACAAATAAATAAATACATATATACATGTAAACAAAATATTTAAAAATTATGAATAAATGTACACGTACATGTATGTACAATTGTACTTTGTATGTACATTGTACATTTTATGTGTAAATTGAAAAAAATCTTACAAAAAAATTAATAAACAAAACTAAAACATGACAAATCCAAACGGTGTGAATCACATACTGTACATGTACTGTCTGCATCAAATAAAAGACATTCATGCTCTACAACGGATGACAAATACGCCTCGCTGGAAGGCAAATAGCTCATTCTCTTGAAATAACTTTGGGAAAAAATCTCCCTGATTCAATCTCGTCTTTCCAATTAGACATTAAACGGGATATTTCTTTACTGGCGGGCTGGCGACATTGGGCAGACAGACAAATTGATTGCGACTCTGCACACAACATAAATCATTTTGAAGATGAACGAGACTGTTGGCTTTCTGTAATTCACGCCGAGATTGTAGAAAAGTGGGTAAAATCAATTCAATGCGCAAATGGATGTTGTTTTTCATGTGCAGCTCCCCCCCCCCCCCCCCCCCTCTCTCTCTCTCTCTCTCTCGATCTCTGTTTTTCATTTTCTCACGCTCCTCAACAATATTTCCACTTTCTCTTCATCTCATTTTCTCATTTTTCTCTTTAGTACTCTCACTCCCTCTCCCTCACCCTCTCCCTCTCCCTCCCTTCCCCCCCCCCCTCTCTCTCTCTCTCTCCATATAAATACATTGTACATGTATCTCTCTTTTAGTCTTTTGCACTCCAATAAGTATAAGAAAAAGGAGAATGGAGAATGAAACAAAACTAATAATTATAATAAATTTATAAAATATTTAAAATGTTTCATCTCTCCAAGCAATACAGATTTGTGTACGTACAGGTTGTACATATGGGCTATTGCCTTGCAGTCCAATCCATATACGGTACACTGTTCATGTACAAAATGTAGACAAGACAAAACTCAAGAGGAAAACAAAGCATAATAGATGCAGTACATGTACTTGAATGCTAAATTCATAATTAATAATGCATACAGTCTACGCTGTACTCTACAATATATCAGGAAGGAAAAATCACCTCCCGGTAAATTGATATTCTTCAAGTTCAGCATTGATTTCATTATGTCACTTAACATGAACATACATCAATGTACAGCAAGTCGGCAACAAAAGACATTTGACATGACTCATAGTCTAATCACCTAATGCACTCCCAAAATAATGAATGTATATTTGACAGCAAATGAATTTCATGATTAAGATCACAAGGGTGTGTCACCATGCACATGCTTTTGATCAGAGCGTATATTATCGGAAGAAGACACAAAGGCAAAAGTTGAAGAGCAGGGAGACGCGTAGAGGAAAAGGACTTTTATTATTACCTGTAGGATTAGAAAATACTGTACATGTACATTGTACTTTCACCAACACAAATTATCGTCATTATTATCTTCATCATTGATTTGTTGTCATCCTCATTACTATCATTTTAAAGATAATAACAATTATCCTTTATAGTAGTAGTACAATATTATTATTAATCCTATCATTATTATTATCGTCATCGTAATCCTAATCATCGTCGTCGTTGGCGTCGTCGCCCCCCCCCCCCCCCCCTCATCATCATCATCATCATCATCATCATCATCATCATCATCATCATCATCGTCATCATCACATTATTATCATTAATGTTGTTGTTACATAATTGTAAAATGCATACACATGTAGGCCTACATGTAAATGCTTGGTCCAGGGAATGGATCCAGGTCACAGCAATTGCCATAATGTACACTGTAGTGTACATGTATGTACAGACTCAATCATAATACCATCTTACTTTTAATATTCACCATCTGTTTCAGTTTTCAGTTTTCACCCTCATCCCCATTATTATCCTTGCCATCTTACTCTAAATTATCATCAAGTGACTACAGAGTACAGATTTAAGTGTTTATCACCAATAATCTTTAGTTTCCCTTATTAGTGAAACTTGCTTTCGATTTGTCTATTTCAAAAAAAAGGGGGAAATGACATAAAACTGTCCTGATGATAGAAAAATACAAATTAAAGAACAATTACATGCCAAATTAAGACACTTTTAAGATTATTTGGTAATTATAGAGCTGTTATGAATCTCTTGAGGGAGAGCATTCTACAGTGGAGACTGGGGACCCTGCATGAACAAAGGTTTTCTCTTCCCCCCCCCCCCCCTATTCTTCAATATCTTTATCAAAATCATCATTACCTCAACTAGGATACACAATCATAATCATTGTCACTATCATAATCACTATGACAGCCTTCTTTACTTAGTGTCAATTCTTTGCTATCATCACTTTAACTGCACCATCACCATCACCACCATTGCTCTCACCATCCTCATCACCATCATCCTCACCATCATCATCATCATCATCATCATCAATATCATTATCATCATCATCATCATCATCATCATCAATATCATTATCATCATCATCATCATCACCATCCTCCTCATCACCATTATCACCATCATCATCATCGTCGTCATCATCACCATCATCAGCATCATCATCATCATCATCGTCATCATCATCATCATCATCATCATCATCATCCTCATGATCATCACCACCATCCTCATCATCATCATCGTCGTCGTCATCATCATCATCACAATCATCATCCTCACCATCCTCATCACCATCATCATCATCATCACCATCCTCATCACCATCATCATCATCACCATCCTCATCATCATCATCATCAATATCATTATCATCATCATCGTCACCATCATCACCATCATCACCATCCTCCTCATCACCAATATCACCATCATCGTCTTCATCATCATCACCATCATCACCATCATCATCGTCATCATCATCATCTTCCTCATGATCATCACCACCATCCTCATCATCATCATCGTCGTCATCATCATCATCATCACCACCATCACCATCATCATCATGATCACAATCATCATCGTCACCATCATCATCACCATCATCACCATTATCATCATCATCATCACCAACACCACCACCATCATCATCATCATCATCATCATCATCCTCATCATCATCATCATCATCATCAACTTCATCATCATCACCAGTACAGTAGGGGCGCTGGTCTGAGAATAAGCGTCGTCTGCATAAAACAAGGATCGTCTTCGTAAACGAGGATCGTCTATGGGACCGATGCGTCCTAAAACATAACGATCATCCTCATTTTCGCAGACGTTTCATATTTTTGATCGGGGCGTTGGCGATGCGATAAACAAATTCCGCAATGATTTTATTGATGCATTTTACATCGACTTTGTACAGAAACTTTTAAATTATAAAGCGATAAATCCTTGGAAAGATGGACAAACCATGAAATTAGATGGAGAACAAAGGTTATTTTCTTACGCGGAATCCATTTTTCCCATCACCAGGATCACCATCATCTGTCATTCACGTTGTCATCATCATCATCATCATCAACATCATCACTGCACTCAACGGAAGAAGAAGTATCTTCTTGTTTATCAGATCACAACTTTTGCGATCACGTCACATCACTGCACTGTTGCCAGTCATAAACGATCGCTGTAGGCCTAATGAAATAACAATGAATCATTGACCGACATGTCTCTATTCTACTTCTACAGTGCACATTAAATATAACCACAACAACCTCATTCCTTCAATATATAATAAGAGAGTAAACTTACCAGTTTTACAGCTTGATTCTACGGGAAATCATTTACATCAGGTGATGAAATTGAGCAGTAATTCCTCTGGTAAAATAAGGTTCCTGACTTCGAACACGACAGCTGTATTATGGAAACGTAAACTGTACTTGAATCGAATACTGTGACTGGTGTTTAACACATTGCAATCGCTCAACATAGCTCTAATCCCTATGGAATTTGCGTATTGATCTACCGGCGAGAAAAGGAAGATGGGTCCATTACCAGTCTGAATTGTCTTGCCCTTCAACACTAGAGGGAGACAACCAAATCTTCGAACTCCGTCGCAATCGTTTTTTGGTGTGTTTTGGGGGCAATTTTTGGCGTTCCAGAATAATCAATAGAGCCCCGACAATTCATCAATGTGGTCATTATTTTTTTTTTTTTTTTCGGGGGGGGGGGGGGGGGGGGAATGAAAAAATTATTTTCCAATTATAGACATGCTTTGAAGGATGAGACTTTATCTGTTGCTTTCATCTCCTCTCTCTCCTTTCAACCGCTCACTACTAAAGCCCCTCATCGATCCCTCATCCTGCGCGGCTTACTTTTCTCTCTCTCTCGATCTCTTTCGATTTATCTCTCCTTTGTTTTTCTTTTATTGTTCTTTCGTTTACTACTTTTTCGTCAAATTTGTCAAATAACTGACATATATTAAAAACTTTAATATATCATCGCTTTGGAAATAATAATGTTTTCTTGAGTTTTTGTCAAATGTTCGCTGTTTTATTTTATTTTTTTGTATTGATGTTGTATTGCCCTTTAGGTGCCAAAACATCCCCCCCCCCCCCCCCACTCAGAGAACAGACGGACCCCATGCGTGTTACCAAAATGTTTGGTAAAAGGGTACTTTTCGTGAGACAAAGTCCGGCCCGAGAATTGTAAAAACTTGAAGGGGTGTTTTAACTTTTCACCCGGAGATTTCTTTAAAGGGGGTGTTTTATGTTATTGTTCTCTCTCATCTCTTTGGACTCCTGAGAAATTATTCCGAATTTAGGGGGGGGGGGGTACATTGAGCATTTTTCATGAATTAGGGGGGTCTCCAAGGCAGGAAAAGCCAGTGAAAAGCCCGCGAAAGCCGGGGGTTCGGAAATGTTGGCAGTCCTCAGATAGGGGGTGCTTTCAAAAAGAGGGAACAAGCATTATGCGTACCCTACGTCGGTCGGAAATCTTGTTTCACTTTTTGTTTACTTTTTGTCTTCTTTCTTCCTCTTTGAGCTGATATTTTTCAGTTTTAATGCTTTTTTCTTATAAAGCCGACCGTAGATTTCAAGATTTTATGGTCGGTCGCAAGGGCACTACAATTTTTTTGTTTTTTGTTTGTTTTGTAAAGGCCTTATCAGTGGTCTAGCTACCGGCGCACATCAGGGCACGTGCCCCCCCCCCCCCCCCCCCCCCAAAAAAAAAAAAATGAGAGAGAGAGAGAGAGGGGGAAGGGGGGGCAGGAGAGATGAAGGAAATGAGGTGAAAAAGAACGTGAGATAATATGACGGGACAGATTGCTCGAACACGCTCTGAAAGATTCGAATATGGTAATCCGTATCGTGGGAACAACATGATTAAATTGAACATTTTTTGAAAAGGGGTTTCACGATTTTCTATTTTTTTTTCCGTGGCAGGGATCGAACACCCAATCCTCCAGCAAAATACAGTCACGTTGATATTCCATGTAACTTCAAAGAAGAAGAAGAAGAAGAAGAAGAAGAAGAAGAAGAAGAAGAAGAAGAAGAAGAAGAAGAAGAAGAAGAAGAAGAAGAAGAAGAAGAGAAGGAGAAGAAGAACAAGAAGAAAACAAATGAGGAGGAGAGGAAGATCTTGAAAAGAGGAAGAAGAGGAAAGGAAAGGAAAAGGAAGAACTAAAACGATATTCTAGGCAAAAGTTATTTGAAATAATATCAGTGCCTGAGATATAGGCAAGCTGTGAACGAGAGAAAGGGATATTTTGAAGAAAGTCGAGTTTTGTAAGCTTTATCATGACAAGTGGGGCGAAGGGGCGGCGTGTTCCAAAAATTTGATAGGAATATAGTGGACCTATAGGTCTACCTAATTACCTCAGACAGTTTTCCTCACTGAATAACTACTTGCACTTTCAATTCAGTTCAGTATCCGAAGCTATATGACTAATATCAGTGGCGGTTCCAGAGGGAGGTGGGGGCCCTGGCCTCCACCCCTGGGGAAAAAAACGTGTAAAAACACGTTAGATTTACTCTTTTTTTTAGGGGGGGGGGGGGGGGGGGGGGGGGGAGAATAGCAACTGAGCGAATTATCGGCCGGCTATTTCGCCGCTAAATATTTTCTCACGAATTGGGCCACCTCCCCTGCCGCCGACTGCATCCGCCCTTGACTAATATCGAAGAGGAGATTGCAGTGGGCTACGGCATGTTGCTGGCCCAAGTATGATTGATGGAGAAACTCTGCAAAGGGAACAAAATTAAAAACTACCGATGACAATATTAATTGTTGCGATCATATTTAGCAGGACCTTTGTGTTTTTGATCCTTTTTACTCCAATTGTATAGCGGTCACTCGATTTGTTTCATATTTATATTTTAAAGTTATTATTTCATTGTATTTATTCGTTTATTCATATATTTATTTATTTATTATTTGTTTATCAGAATTTATTTATTTATCTATATATTCATTCATTTATTTGCTTATTTGATCATTTAATTTAATAATGTAATCATAATATTATGTTATTCATTTTCTATTGGGGTAGGTGAAGGTTTTTTTCCTGAGGGAAATTTACATTAATGTTGAGTGTCCGAGTCCATTAAATAAGATTTTTTTTAAAGAGGTGCAATTTTGTTGCGTATGAAACTTGCCATTCGAAATTTCTGACTGAGTTGCATAATAATATTTTATGCTTGAATATAATTGTTGTCTATATAAAACTTTACTATCGTAGGCCTACCCATAGAGCTATAATCTCAGTCTTTCCTAGAAACTTGGAAAGGTCTTTTATGAGAATCTAAGTTGAGATTAATCCCTCAGTCATTATCGGTCTAGCCCCATCTACGATAGATATCATGACAATCATTTTGTCTGCTGATGCAAAATCGAATGAGGGATTTCTGACGAAAGAACAGATTCTGCTACAGATCGACATTATGTAAGCAGCTTTGTCGTACGCATTGTAAGTATAAGTTCATTCGAATTTAATTAAATGTATGAGATTTAATGTTATAAAGAAAATTTAATGACCATTCCTGCCATCCTGAAATTAACAAAAACAATTCATGAATCGGGCGCCGGCGTGGTAGCTTGAGCCGAGGCGGGTGTGGAGAAGGCACTCCTGCCGGCGCGTCAGCGGAGGTGCTCAGCTCGAAGAGTGCTGCAGTCCGTGGCGTGGGTATCATTGCAATTTGCATTGGTCTCAGCTTGGGCGCGTGGGTCCCCCCCCCCCCCCCCCCCAACTCCGAGAACGGACGGACCCCATGCGTGTTTCCAAAATGTCCTTTTCGTAACAAAAGAAAAAGGTCGACCGTATTGACTTTACACACTGGACTTTTGCTGAAAAGGGGGGGGGGGGGGTGCTGAAAAAGGCTTGTAGGGTCTATACAGAAGAAAAAGGTCGAGCCGTATTGACTTTACACACCGGACTTTTGCTGAAAAGGGGGGGGGGGGGGGGTCGGTTGGAACACGCATATGCGTACCCTAAATAACACTGAGTGGGGGGGGGGGGGGGGGGGGCGGTCGTGGGTCTCGCTCTTCACTTGGCACTTGCCTCTTCAGTTTGTTACTCAAACCATAAAATATTCCTTCAAAGTTCAAGAATTGTTCTTTATTTGAGATCTAAACTTTATAAATGTCATACAAATCACTTGACTTAGCCTAGCCTTAGGTATAGTAAAGGTCTATTCAATTTCAAACTGGACAGTAGAGTCTAGATCGTCTAGATGGACTAGATTATAGGTAGGGATGCTGGTCCAGGAATGAGGATTGTCCGCTTAAACGAGGGGAGTCGGGCTAACTCGGTCCCAAGGACAAGTCGGCCCCGCTGCAGTAACGATAATTTTTTTTGCAGCTTTAGGGTTAGATGACCGTTATTACAGCGGGGTCAAGTTGTCCACGGGTCCTGGCCGAGTTAGCCCGGATCCAAACAAGCTACAAGGTCTCCTTGTTTAAATTTCACACAGACAAATTGCATCTTTTAAAAAAAAGATCGTTTGCCAACGTTTTTTTTTTCATCAGCGCTCTGCTGGTTTCGGGTTGCTCAAACATTGGCCAATGAACTTTTCTGATTTTGATTTGATTTGATTTTGGTTAGTTTAATTTCACTAACAAAATAAATAACAAATACATAGTCTAGGCCCTAACATTTTTTTTAATAATATCACCCCCTGGTCCATCTATTTTGATTGCAGATACCAATATGTCATTCAAGAGAGATGGTGATGATGGCAGCCAATTAAACCTACTCAAGGTGAGTGTCTTAGACATTTTAGACAGATTGTCTTCTTCTTTAGGAAAATTGATTGATTTCAAGATCATTTCTCCTTGTTGCATCTGGGCCCTGTTTCATAAAACTTGTTATCAACGACAAAATGCCAATGCACAATGTTGATCAAATATATAAAAGGAAAGTTACAACTTTAGTTACCTTTTAGAAAATTAAATTGCATCAAATGTACAACTGAGAAGTAAAAAGACTTAGGAGATGTACTGTATGTTGCTTTCAAAGGACTGTGATATATCATTACTTGTAGTTAATAAAAGAAAACAAGACATTGCTGTGATATATTGACCAATGCTTGTTTATAGAATAGAAAAATTTGGAGAACAAATTCATGGAACATGAGATATTGGCCCCTGATTCAGCGGGGCCACTTTTTGGAGCTCCATAAATTGAGGTTTGATTGTGCATCCATGTCACAGTTCGATCTACTCATTCTCAACTCGCTGTAATCTTTGTCATTGGAATTGTTTTGGAATTGTTTTGATTGTTAGAAACGGCGAGTGGCTGAGCTTCTGGCCAAAGACATCCCAGATGATGAAGCAATACTTATGCGCAGTGGGAGGTAAGCACATCATAGCTAGTAGCTACACATTAGGGTTGATTCACAATTAACAGCCCCCCCCCCCTACCCCCCCCCCCCCCCACTGACAAGCCATGACAGGCCACTTTGTCAGCTTGTAGGTCAACATCTTTCAATCGATGCTATTAATTGAATTACCAACTGTTAATTAATTTGATGAGATAGATTGTTCAGATATCAGTGTACATTTCTATATTTTGAACTCTTACATGTATGTCAAAATTTACCCATCAATTGATTCTGACTAACAATAAGCTAGATTCACAATTTACAGCTTTCCCACCTAATAGCAGCGACAGGCAATTTTTTTTAGCTCACGGGTTGACATCTTTAATTCAATCAGTGCTGCACAGTTGGTCAGTTTTAACCCCAAAGTGGCCAAACTGACCAAAATGTCACGAGTTGGGTCAATAAGATTTTTAGAGTCAGCGCACAATCATACCCTGGATTATAAGCTATTCAAACCTTCCCCACTAAAAATTATGATTAAAACCCTTATCTCATCTAGGGTACATAAAGCCACAGCTACAAATGTAATACAATGCCAACTTTTTTCCATGATGCCTCACATGAGATTGATGAAACACTGGTGTTGCTATGGATTGTGAATCAACTATTGTTTTAGGCTCATGAATGTAACCAAAAAAAATTAGGCAATACATGTTGGAACATGTAATCTAAGTAGCATGGGATAGTCTGTATGATCAACAATTTATCTCTGATTTAACACCCTTTTATCACCAGTGATATACTGAATAGACGAAAAAAATAACAGGGTTTTTTGCCAACTATTTTTGACACCAATGATATACTGACTGAACTCATTAATTTACACTTTATCACTGGATTAACACTCTTTATTTTCCACTTTAGGTATGCCTGTACGGTTTGTCATTATAGACCCGTCTTTGACACTGTTGATATGCTGAGTGTCCACCGAGCAGGGAAAAAGCACCAACATGGTAGGCTAATTTTGAGCTATGGGGGGGTGTTTCACATAGATCCGAAGTTGAACTTAACTCTAAATTGGACTGAAAAGCCATTTGTAGCCTAAAATAAAATATATTCAATAGTGAAAATTCAAATATTTTTGACTTTTAATAAATTCCACATGAAGAACATGAAATCTTCAATGATAACAGAAAATATGAACAATTTGAATCAACATTTTATGTCTTTTAAAATAATTTATACAAAGTATTTTCATAGATGCTAATGGTTTTCCATAATTGTTAAGTCCAACATAATTTCAACTTGGGAATTTTGTGAAACACCCCCTGGTATGAAACAAAAGGCCCATTTATACATGAGATCATGATAGTTAAACTGCTTCCAATACTGCTTTCAAAAACTGATCAGGCAAACATTTGTGAGATGAGCAAGTTTCCCCTCACTTCTCTATCTGTATAACACACAGATCAGTTAGTCAAGAGGTAATCTTTGCATGCAGCTCTCTTTATTGACCACCCCCTCCCCTTTTCGTCCACTCAAATATATATATATTTTGGGGTCATTTTACTTTGTAAACTCCATTTAATTCAGTCCTTGGGATGCCATGTTGAATTTTTAAAAATGAATGCCAATGCCAAAATTATGTGTAATTCGTTTTGTATGCTTCAGTATAATAAGTTAATTGCATGCATACAGTTGTAAATGTAATTTTCATGTGATTTTACAATTGTTTTCACTTACCATACCTTATGAAGTGCCTGGATCAGCCCCTGGAATGCATATCGCCAGCATTATTTCGAACTGAGGAATCCATACAGTAATATATATGACCGATTCGTCGGTTGATAATAATGCCAAGGATAAGTTCACTGTAAATGTTGTACTTTTATGATATATTTTTCCAAGTCATTCTACCCCTTTTGTCCCTCTTGCTCCAGCTACTGATAATCACTTTGCCAAGAAGAGAGAGCTTGCTTTGCTGGTTCAGAAGAGACGAATGGAAGCAGAACTCAAGAAAGGAAGTCTGAAAGGAAGGGATGAGGTACAGTGATCTTTCTTTCAGCCAATTCTCCAGGGAGACTCTGGAAGTGGTCTTTAAGATGGTCGTCAGTTTCCATGATTCGCTGACACCAGACTTGTTGAAAATACCATTAATATGTAAAAGTATGCAAGTGTGCAGGAGTGCGATGTAAACACTATGTTTAGTGTGCCTGCATACACAACTGATAATCTACATACATATTTTGGGGATAAGCTACATGTATATAATATAAGATCACAAGTAAAAGAAGAATTGTCCAAGGCATTTGTATTTGTGGTATGTTTGTTCAAAAAAGGGAGAAATAGGGTGGCGTGGGGGAAGGATGTATGAAGAGAGTCTGAGAAGAAAAATTTTGTTTCCATTTTGATATCATTTAATATAAAAATAATTCAAATAATTCTTCAAAATACAGCTCCTTTTTCATTATTATAACATAATTTAATTAACTTAATATGAAGAAATGATAAAAGAAAATAGGAAAATTAAGACGCTTCCTTTCTTTTTCTTAGGAAGCAGAGCCATCCCCCCTCCTGCAGAAAGTGGAAGCAGCCAAAAGACACACACTGCTGAAGGAAGCTCCTTACAACCCATGCCATACACACAAGACTGACGGGTGAGTCCACTTTCTTATAGGGTACCCATACATTTGTATGTCACTCTCCAAGTATCTGAGAAACAGCATTATGTATCTTTTTTGATTATGTTTCCTCAAACCCAATTGTAACTTGTATGGCTCTACATAAGATTAGTTACTACCACCCCACCCCCTCTCCCTCTCTCTCTCTCTCTCGCTCACACATAACTCACTCTCTCTCTCCCTCTCTCTCCCACTCTCTCCCTCTTTCTCTCTTTCTCTCATTGTGCCCTCTTTCCAGCTCTCTTTTCTCTTTCTTTAATTCACTCTAGCTGTCTACCTCTTTCTCTTTTTGCTGGGAGGAAAGTTGTGCTATTGTTAAAATATCAATTTGCTATTTATGAATGCTTTCATGATGTCACTCAGAATAATGATATTGGTATGTATCGTCTGCTTAGCCCGAGAGTTGGAATCGTATTGAATCATTCTGGTTCAACATTAACTCAATATCCTGATGGCTGTCAACATAAATATTACGTTCATGCCTACATGTATGTTTGCAATGAAAAATAAATATCTGTATAATTGTGGACATAAAATGAAAAAAAAAAAAAAATTTCATCAACCATCATCCTGCACACTTTCCTTGACCTGATGCTTTGATTAGAACAATAACAAGAAGAACAAGAACAAAAGAAGTTCAACCCTAATCCCATTGGGTTATTTTGATCACTTGAGTCCATTGGGGGGGGGGGGGGGGGGGGGGGGGGGGGGGGGGGGGGTCCCCATCGGATCTCGGCAAATAATGGACCAATTGACTTGAAAATTGGCACAGTCGTAAAACAAGTTGGGTAGAATAAAAATGTTTTTAAAAAATAAAAAAAATATTTATAATTTATTCAAATTTTGAATATGCAAATTTTTGATGAATTTTGGTAAAAAATTGGGATTATCATCTGAAATCAGGAGAAATGACAGGATTTATTCAGGTTTTCTGTAAAAATACTTTCAAATGATGTAGTTCATTCATATCCATGTTTTGATAGTAATATATATGATGATAAATATGAAGTTTCATATCTTTGTGTTTTTAGAAAAGCTCGAGAATCAGGATATTTCCTTATTTCTTTTGTATTTCATTGTTTTTATTCTTATGTATTTTATTGTTTTGATTTGTTTTTGTTTTTGTTTATTTTAGAAGAATTTGTCTCTGAAGTGTTTGAAATAAACTTTTAACAAAGAAATAATCCAAATTATAATTCAATGTAACAATTATAACAGATCTGGGGGGTGTTTCACAAAGATCCTAAGTAGAACTTAACACTAAGTTGGAGTTAAAAATTATGGACAGCCATTGGAGCCTTAAAATGAAATATATTCAAAAGCAGAAATTCAAGTACCTTAGACTTTTTTATAACTTCCATGTCAAGAACATGAAATCTCCTTGATGATAGAAACTATGAATTATTTGAATCAACATTTTATACCTTTCAAAATAACTTTTACAAAATATTTTCAAAGATGCTAACGGCTTTCCATAATTTTTAAGTCCAACTTAGAGTTAAGTTCTACTTAGGATCTTTGTGAAACACCCCCCTGGAGTTTACAGGGGGGGGGGGCCTAAAGCCCCCCCCCCCCCCAATGGGATTAGGGTTTAAAAAAAAGGAAGAAAAAGAACTATAATAAGAAAGAACTAAAAGAAGAAGAAAAGATGTGGCTGTTGATTTTGTGACAAGTTTGACCAAACCTGACTGATATTTCCCTCCTTTTTCTTCATTTTTACAGACCTTCCAAGAAGGCAAAGAACAAGCTCTTCTTTCAATCCACCCGGCAGGTCGGTTTAAAGAATCCAGTAGGAAATTCAACCAATCAGATGACAGAGAATTTAAATTCAGCCAATCAGAAGAGAGATTTTTCACATCATGCCAGTGAACCCACCATGACTTCTTTGGCAGCTCAACAGACTCCAACACCAGGCTTTTCAAATATTCATACACACACTCCCATTGTAAGTTCTACTACTGCTCCGCAAAATGCTGGTATCAAGCCTGGTTTTAAATCTACCTCACAGACTCATGTCCCAGGAGTTTCAAGCATTCAAATCAAGCCATACATACCAAAAGCAAAGAGGAATGTCATGCACACCAAAGCATGCCCTCCCAAACAGCCTGGTCTTGAACCTGATTCAGAAAAGCATCAAACAACCTCAACACCAGCTCCTCACAATGCATCATCAGTTTTTATGCAAAATCCAGTTCATGGAGAAGAGGTTGAGCGCTCAAGCATCAAATTCATCAGAGAGTTTCAAAATACAGAGAATACATGTGTGGATAACAAGGCTACCTCAAACAAAACAAGTGCCTCTATCGCAAATGAACTAAAGCATAGTGTTGCAGAAGATAACAACATGAAGTGGATGTCAGGAAGGGTTCCTCAGAAGCATCCATTGTATGGTAACAAGCAACAGGATTCTAGAATGAATGGACAGATGAGAGAGGCTTCACAGGATGTGAGGGGTTTCCAGCAGTGTGGACAAAGGGCTTCACAGGAGCATCCCACAGTGTGGGGCATCCCGCAGTGTTTCCCACACCTAGGACAAAGCGCTTCACAGGAGTATCAGGATGTCAAGGGTTTACCACAGTGTGGACAAGGGGCTAGAGTGGAGGAAGAAAGGACTAAACAAAGACTACTAAAGAAGACACAACAGAAGGGCAAGTCTATGTTGACAGATGAAAAGAAGAAAGAACTACAGAGATATTTAGAGCTTACCAGGTGAATAAACCCTCTATCTACCTACGTGACCTAGGGGATGTTTCACAAAGACTAAGATCTGCTTTAGGTTGGACCTAATTATGGCAGGCCGTTCATGCCACTGTTTGCTCTCACCATTATGATCTTTAGTGTTTCCCTTCAATAATGAATTATCAACAAATGTTAATTCTGTAGATTTGCGACCATGATTTGTACGTCCCTTTAGAGACCGATGCCAGTAAATGGTAAGAGCAAACAGTGGCATGAACAGCCTGCCATAGTTAAGCCCAACTTAAAGTCAATCTTAGTATTTGAAAAAACACCCCTCAGACACCACACCATTGATTTGACATGTGCTCCATTTCCTTTCTTAGAGAAAATAGTCAAAAAGGATACTGAATTTTTTTCTCAGGGGTCCTCATTGGGTTAGGATATGGATGACTTGTGGATTTGGGCAGTGGGGTATGCTATACGTAAACTTGTTCAGAAATGTAATGATCATTGAAATTCCCTCATTTACTTACTCATTTTTTTATTTCTTTTTTCTTCTACCTTACAGTGCTGGCTGGGTTCAAGACAATGGAGGTGACTGGGTCAAAGGTCAGGATGTAGAGTTTGACTCTGACGAAGAACCACCAACATAAGAGAAGATAAAGGGTATAAAGTTTTGCAACAGAGATGATTATTAAAAAAAAAGATACAAGACAGAACGAATGAGTCCATTGGCAGGCTGGTTTAGGATAAACGATATTTTTCACCCATTTTAACCAAGGAGTTTTAAGAGCTGGAGTCCAAATTGGCAACACATTATTCCAAGCAGCTTCTAATGTTGCACAATAGAATCTACAGGTGTGCTGTTAATTGTGATGTCCAAGGTTCGAAGCAGCAATATCACTGGAAAGCTTGAGTAGGGATTTTTTTAAAGGAAATATCATTAAGTGTCAAATTCCATCACTATACTTTGAGCTTGAAATACAAATATATGAAGGAGTAATTGAACCAAGTATTATAGTATAAGTGACATCACAGATATAAACTTTGAAAATAATGCAATTTTAGCTTTATACCAACTATTTGCAATCCTGGGGATGTACACAATTTACGGGGAGGAATACTATTCCTCGACTGCTTTCTTCTCAATATACTGCAACTTCTGAATCTACTTTCTCTTGTTTTATTCTTTGGGTGATGCCTCGCCCCTATGACTCGTACCTTCTACTGACCTTCATCGAAACTAGGAGCAAAAAGGTCAAGTTTGAAGTCAAGTTTGTTTACTCTTTACCCTGCCTCTGTAGAAGGGCATTACCAAACTAGGCAACCACCAGTGACTCACTTCACTAAAATAAGAAACATGTAAAGCGGCATTAATATACAATATACCATACATAACGATAAACATAAACATAACAATTAAACACGATAAACATAAAATATCACATCATTGATATTATATCTTACAATAATTGTTACATGTAAGATGGGATGGTTCCTGGGTCTTTAGTCTTAGCGGAGGTCATATGTCATTTGTAACCTAACTATCGCCCTCTTACAGACAGAGTTTAGAGATTGGTCGTATATAATATATTGACCCTATCCTAACTTCAACTTGTCGATCTAGTCCATGTCTGTCTGGGTACATGTAGGTCACGGTTACTCGTTCTAATGGCCAGTGCCCACGAAGAGCAGCACTGTCAGCCACAAGTACAAGGTTGTCAGTCTGGAAGTTTCTTTGTGGGTTAAGCCACCTTTGGCGTTTGTGAAGTAAGGGAAGATATTCCTTTGTCCAATGCCTCCAGAACTGACCAGCCAGATATTGAGTTTGTCCAACCTTAGCTGCGATGAGCTTTGCTAGGCTCTGCTTGAGTTATTTATGTCCAGCTCTAAAGTTTGTGCCATTGTAGCTGAATATTTTCTCAGGCAGTCCTCTGTGATTCACAAATCTCCTTAGAGCGTTGATGAATGAGTCTGTATCCAGGGAGTTGGCTTTTTCCAGGTGTACGGCCCTAGTCGTCAGACATGTGAATACACAGCCATACCTCTTGGGCTGACTCCGGCCTTGCTTGACGTAGGAAGGTCCAAAGTAGTCAACCCCAGTGTAGGTGAATGGCGGCTTGTCCGGTGTAACTCTTTCTTAAGGCATGTCAGCCCTCATTTGTTTCCCTCTTGGAGCATTTCTCTTCTTGCATTGGACACATTTTCCTATGATGCGTCGAACAGTTCCACTGGATCCAAGCTAATCCTCTCCTTAATCTGTTCCAGGAGGAATAGCAATCTTTTGGCTTGGTTGAGATGGCATTGGTTCCCTATATCTAAGGATCATTTTGGAGGTCCTGAGTTGGCAGAACTGCTGTTGGAGGTAGAGATCTGGCATCATTCATGAGCTCTGCTCACTTTCCTTCTGGTAGTTCATGACTCCATGTGGAGGTTTTGTTGTTCATCCACATACTTAGTGCTTCCAAACTTGCTACTCAGGCTGAAGGTTTCTACCTTACTAGAATGGCAAAGTCAAGTTCACTAATCATATTGGTGCTTGGCGCATTCTAAAATGCTCTCTTGGTGGCCTCTTCTGGCTCCCAGAACTTCCTGCCTCGTAAATTATTTGGCACTGGCGCTCAATAATTTGCAGGAGTCCACACATAATTAATTCAAGTGCTTGTATGTTCATGGCATGTTTCTCTGGATCTGGATCATTCTCAAAGAGTCTGTCATGCAGTTCATCTGCTACCGCAGGAACAGTGCTCAATGCCGAAGATCCATCAAGCATAGGAATTTATTGATTGATTTATTTATTTATTTATTCATGTCTTCTTTATAAAAGAAGGGTGGTCCCATTCAAGCTGCAAGGCCTGCTTTCCAAGGGAGCCCTGCTGTAACAAACAAATCACATTTCAAATATCTTACAATACACATAAAAATACACATAATATACAATAAAAACATAATACAAACAAACTATAAAACATTTAACACAAATAGGAAATTAGAGGAAAGAGGAAAAAGGAAAGAGAGAAAGAGAGAGTGAGAGGGTGGTAGGAATACTTCATGTAAGCGATCGCAAAATAGAAGAAGTCAATTAGCCCACTTGAATTTCACGGACATTTTGTTTAAAAATGGATAGTGAGGCGGAACATTTGGTATTAAGTATGGGTAGTGAGTTGAATGAAGGTTTGTTTTTTAAATCGGTTCTGGGTTTTGGCATCCTCCTTCCACTCAATTAATTTTTGTTGTAGCTCATGGAGCCTGGAGTTGAGAGCAAGGATATTGGGAACAGTCTTCACAGCATGCCAAGTGGTTCGGTAATGATCTTTTGTGTGATGCCAGGGGCTCGGACTTCAGCACAAACTATTCTATCTTCGGCATCTTCTGCAACAGCCTTCAAGAGATTGTTTGGTTCAGGAAGCAAGGAAACTAAACTTGATATGTGTGATAGGTGAAAGTGTGTGCCTGATGCCCCTTCAAACAAGATGATAGCCCGGTTCCTGATGTAGTCCACTAGATGGTTTGAGGTATCGTACTCAATGGTTATATAGGCAGTGAAGATGTCTTCTACGCCAGATTTAGTCGCACCCCAATGATGAAATGCCTTGCTTGCTGTTCTTACTATGCGGCGGGCATCCGATTCTGATGTTTTGAGTGTGTGTACTCCCTTCCCTCCTCCCTGCAATGTCCTCATAGGCTTTCATAATTTTGTCAACTTCCTCGGCAAAGTTAATAATGAGATGCAGTTTGAAGTAGAAAGTCACAAAATGTTTGCAAATTGCGTGTTCATCAGCTACATGTATAAGTTGCTTCCAATTTGATACGATGTGTGGTAGTAGTTCTTCTTTTAGTGTACATAGTTTTTCGCTGGATTGCGGCACTGTCGGCCCTTGATCGATCATAGTTGATTTGATCGTGGAAATTATCTGTTTGTTTATTATTTCAGGTGGGTTGTCATCTGTGGCGATACTTTGGGCAAGTTCCTTTTACCCTCTCTGTAAAGCTGTCAAATACAGCAGACGTATCACCAGCTGCCCTCTCTGTAAGTCCTACTGAGCGGGACGATCCATCGGGGCGAGTAATTTGGTAGTTTTGGTACTTGCGATGGAATTTAGATTTCCCATCTCCATGGGCGACAGGCATTGAGAGCAGTGGCTACCTCCACAACAGCAAGATGTCTTCCTTCCACAAGGATTCTCGACTTTGTGCCCATTGATTGCAGGCGGCTCACTTTTTTTCCGGCAAGATTTTTAAGTACCGTTCAAATATAGGACATAAAATTGCAAGTTAAAAAAATCTTGTGTACGGCATGTATTTTATATCATTGTCATATTTCTTTTTTTTTTCCCGGATTTAACGCCTTTTTGGCAGAAATCAAAGATATAGCGCCTTTTGGCAGAAACTTTTTACAGTCAATACTGAGTGTAAATGCTACAGAATTGTATGTATTGTATGAACAAGTGTCTCACTGGGAATATATGCTCCATCTTGACCGTTGTTCCACTGCAAGCTTTGTCAGAATGCCAAGATCAGTACTGTTTTTATTTTGACTGACACTCTTGTCGCTGACGTACTGCACTTTCTTTATTGTCAGATCTTCAGACAGCCTTCTATCTAGGAAGTTGTGCAGTGGGCTGGCGACTTGGTTTGACCCTATTCCCATTTCCTGTTCCCCCAGGAATAGAAATGGACATCTTCTGGATGTTGTGTTCCTGGGACATATTTTTTGCCACTCTGCTTATGTTCAACAATGCCAAGAACATTGAGCTGCTGAACTTTACGGGAGTAATCATCAGAAACAAAAAAGCGGGTAATCATTGGGATCAAACTTCTTACTTTTATAGAGCTCCCTCAAGCACTTCTTTGACTTCTCTTTAGTTTGGAAAGAAGAAGAATCTACATGCATGGGGTGTGGGCGAGCTCTTTCTCCCCCAGGTAGGCCTTGTACTGGGTTTTTCTTACCCGATCTGTGAGCACGTTGAATCTCTTTGGCAACTCCCAGTATTGCAGGATCAGGATCGTTGTTTTAGCTTGATTTCCTCAAGCTCAAGCTCTTGTTGCTCCTTCAGAGCTGCGATTTCTGCGGCTAAGGCAGCTCTCTTGGCCTTTGCCCTAATCCTCCAACTAGCTGAGGTGGTGCTGCTCCCCCTTTGACTCACAGAGTCGATCCTCAGGCCTAGTGGTGTCAGACTTCACACCATGCATCTTTACAGAATCCTCTGACTTGTTGTGGTCCTTGAAAGTAACCTCTGAATCTGTGCTATCCATGGCGGTTATGCTCATGATTGAGGATGACGTCCATGCAAGTTGATATTAAACTAAATGTGGCGTGCCAACCCAGATGCCCAAGACCCAAGAAAAGAGACCATGCGCCGCTGTATATTGGTTTCACTGTTGTAAGCAGGCAAGGTTCAATCTGCAATTTAAAAAGGACAAATAGTAATTATTAATATTATTAAGCATTTAGCTACCTTATTCATAGTACACTATATCACAGCGCTTACAATCATATGCAATAAAACAACAAATTATAACATAAAACATTGAACAAATAAAATAATAGCGAATCAAGTAGGAAAAAGGTACGTTTTAAGGAATTTTTAAAACACATCCACTGATGGAGCAGCTTTTACAATGGAGGGAAGTTTATTCCACTCCTTAGCTGCTGCTACAGTGAATGTGCGATCTCCTGCCTTACTACGAGCCAATGAAAAGTCAATCGGAATGGGTCTGCATTGGAGCGAATAAGTCATCTTGCATAAACTGACTTCTTGCATAAACAAACAATGCCTTCTTCACTATAAATCTGACTTAATACATGCAACAATGACTCACTGATATTGACTTTGACATTCCACAAGGTCATGCTCGAAGGCCTCATTCATGTTACTACTACATGTACATTAATACAATTACGTAACGTGCATTGTACACGTGTGCAATCTTTCACGTGACCAACTCATGTCATACATTATTCGGTAGGCGTTGTAGAAACAGTTGCTTCAAAATCCCTTCCTCCAATGTAGATTCTCCTAGTAGTTGTCGCATGCGACGAAGAAGTTGAGTAGGCTTGCGGTCACCTAACTCTTCCGCATTGAGAAGCTGGTGAATTCGCTTCTGTTCGGAAACGCCGGTTCGTTTGACGAGTTCAGATTTCAGTTTGTCATAGCGATCCTTAGCAGGGGGGGCAATGATGAAGTCCCTGACCTCTTGTGCTACTTCAGGCTGTAAAGAGCTAATGACGTGGGCAAATTTTGTCTCTTGTCGCGTAATAGCCCGCGTCAAAAACTGCGCCTCAACCTGGGCGAACCAGAGTGCCGGGTCGCCCGGCCAGTACGGTGGTAACTTGAGTCCAAAAGCAGTAACAGCTGGCCCGGTACTGCCCGGTGCCATCGCGGCAGCGGCGGAGTCGGAGTCGGGCATTTCCGTTGACGGTGATGTCGTCGTCATCATGCACACAAAAGAAAACATCGCTCGTAGAAGAACAAAAAGATCCGGGGTCACCAATGTAGGAATAAATGTTGTAGATAAAACTAAATGAATATTCTTACCGTTAATAATAATCTTCAGAGTTGATATCTCGAGTGTAGAAAGAAACTGGAAAGCGAATCATGAAGAGGAAGAATAGCTAGCTAGTCGCGCTCCACATGCTGATTCATCACTTCGCTATATTGCACTATTCTTCCTCTTCATGATTCGCTTTCCAGTTTCTTTCTACACTCGAGATATCAACTCTGAAGATTATTATTAACGGTAAGAATATTCATTTAGTTTTATCTACAACATTTATTCCTACACAGATAAACATACAACGTCAAAATCCTGAACAAATACATCTAACACATAATCTAAGTTTACTTTGTTCCCACAAGCATTTAAAGTAACAATATTAAGAAAGGTCCTGTTTGGTTCAAGTGTACCATCATGGCAGGGGCCAGGCCGGTCCCAGAAAGAGAAAAAGAAATTAAGGTCACCACCTTTCTTCTCGTCCCATCCAACCTTCCAGAGGTCATCAGGGCCATCGATGACCTTAATCTCCTCCTTCCCCGTTGATGACTTTGTTTACAGAAGATCCTACCATCCATCGTCCATACATTTTTCACGCTAGAGTCCTTCTTCAAATCGCGCACTATCTTACTGCGTAGAGGTATCAAGTCTTCATCAAGAAATACCTGTTTGTGGATGTCCATCGATGTCAGCTTCTTCTTGTTCCTCATCAGTCGTACTTTGACGTCCCGCCGAACAAATTTCACGATGATGGTTTTGCCATCAGCTCTCGCCTGCTAGTCACTCCCTGCCATCGCACGCCTGCCAGGCAGCGAAATTTTTTTTCCTACAAACTTTTATACCTGGCGCATGCGCACATACAAACTGTTATACTTGACGCATGCGCACATGGTCATTATCCGAAACCTCATAAATATTCATTAGATTTTTTTAGGACAATGCAATCCTTTCTCTAACCGTGTGTAAGTACGGCGCTGCTAGTTCACAAGTGTGCCCATACTTTGGCGCCGGCTAGCTAACCGTGACCTCCACTTCTCGGCCGCCATACTTGCCGGCGTACTTGCCTCCACTTCTCAGCCACCGTACTTACACACGGTTAGAAAAAGGATTGCATTGTCCTGAATAAACGCCTAAAATTCAACAAAATAAGCTTTAATGTTGGCCTTGGACTAGTTATTCTGCATCAAGAAGGTATTTTTGATCATTTTTATTATCCTTTTTTGTAATTTTAGTCTTATTTAGAATGTTCTGGACACATTTACTAATCTGGCCAGAATATGTATAAGTACTGTACACTATGTTGATTTTTTAATTGTTTTTTATTTCAAAGTCATGATTTGTGTTTGTAAATGCATTACAAATAAAATTGTAGCATTTGAAGTATTTAATTGCATCTTACACTGTTACAGATTTTCAAAAACCGAAATTGCAGCTCTTATTGTGACGTAACATGCGAGCTAACCTCCCATTTGCTCAGTACTAAAAAAAATAGAAAATTTCATTTTGCCAATAACAAAATTTTCAATCGTACAAGCACGCTAAATATAATTATTGCAAACATGTTACAACCCTTGCATGGGAAACATATTTTCCGTCATCAATAACAAAGAAAACAATTTTTTTTAAATTTTATGCTCAGGGCAAATGGAATGGAAGGTGAGTTCGCATGTTACGTCACAGAGTTGCTACTTTGTGTTTGATTGATCCTATCTTCAACAATTCATAACTTTCTTGTTTTTAATTTTTGATAAGAATTTGCTCAAACTTTCAATGACCTGTTCCTCTTCTGCTTCTATTCAGGGTAGATTTTCCCTTTCAGTAAGTAAATTTGCTTACCTGTTTTTCCTCTCCGACAAGTACACACACCCAACGACAAGTCCACAGTGTATGTCTTGTCGAGCGCTTCTTTACTTGCACCACCAGTGCAGACAATTCTTGATTTGTCAATCTTGGATCCAAGTGAGTGATGCGGCAGAAATCGTGACTGCAGGGATCTATCTAGCCTATTGTTGCAAATGTCAAGGGGTGTGACTAAAAAGTCCACTAGCTGGATGACATTGTATGCTTTTGTTCTTTCAAATATCTGGTCCTTCAGAATTCTCATAGAAGCCTCGGCATAATTGTTAGTGTTATTGCCTCGAACATTCATGCTTTCACGATGGCAAACTGCCCACAACATTCTGCGTTCGTAGATGTCCTTCATGTGGGCAGCAACCCTTTCATAACTCTGGAGAACCACATCATTGACAGCTTTCTGGTAATTCTCCTCTAGGTTGTCAATGGTTTCAGAGTAGACCATGTCCTTCAGAAGGGAAAGCAGTGCTGGTTGGTGCTCTTTTCTAACCCCAATTTTTGAGTATCACAGATATCTCCAGAAAGCTTGAAGTACGTGGAAGATGCACAAGAGCAAGGTGGACTCGGTACACGCTCTTAAAAGCCTGCCTTTCTGATAAGCTGTCATCAGTCATGAATATTTCTGGTCCTTTCTGTCCTCTCCCAAAGTAAGAATCATCACTCAACAATGAATTGTGCAAATGAAGAGCCTCCGTCACAGTCTCGGTACTTTCACTGGTATAGTATTAATGACTGCTTTGAGAGAAATAGTTGTTTTTATATGCTCAAGGAAAGGTTAGAATTGTGCTATTGCCCGAGGCGTGTCGAGGGCAATAGCCCAATTGTATCCTTCCCGAGAGCGTATAAAAACAACTATTTCTCGAATATTAAAGCAGTCATTAATACTTTTATATGCCGAAAACAAAAGAGTCAACTTATGACACCACCTTGGCCTTTATCTAGTTTATCTGCACGGTTTTTTTTTATGAGTGTATCTTTGAGAGTAGACTAAAAAATAAAAATTAAAAAAACTTTTGTCGAAGATGGGATTCGATCTCTTGCGCACCAACGATGATGTGACTAAAATCACCGCCTTAGACCGCTCGGCCATCGCGCACTGATACCAAATCTTGCAGTTTTCTCTGATCTATACATTTAAAATGGATTGAAAACGGCTTCGCGTGCTGGATGCTTCGCGGCAGCTCCATTAAACGGGCCCTTTTTTTACTTTTGCAATGCATTGGCACGAACTTAGATAAAGATCTATCGGCAGATGTTGTTTTTGGAAGTTTATTTTCGTCTTCATGTCAACAATGCAAGATAAAATTGTTGGTAAGATCGATCGAGATTCAATTGTATTGAAATTACCGACCAATTCATCGCACACGTACGGTATCCTTGATTGCTCAGACCATTTCTAACATGTCAACCTATGGGTATTTCACCAAGACTGAACTACTTTCCCGGTAACCATGGTTACTGGGATTTTAGAACTATTTTTTAGAACTATTACATGGGTTTGGAATTTTACCGGGAATTTTACAGGAATAGTTAAAGTTTATGAATGCAATTTCGACGAATCAGATGGCTGGATTTCTTAAGTGAGGTATATAATAGTAGCGGGAGTAGTTTGGCGATTTGCTGCAAAGAAAACTGCACGCATTCTCTCAAGGGCATATGTGAATAAGCTCACATCATTTGTTTTGCATGCTCTCACAAACAACCGATACAGTTGTACAAGATCTGTGTAGTGCATCCAATATTTGGCAGTATCACCATGGTCCCCTTGTCTGGTTTTGGCAGTGAAGCCCTCATAATCCTCCATCAGTGTGACAAAAGGAGTGGATTTCTCTATCCTATCCACTTCCTGCTGAGATGAATTGATGTGCAATGCCTTCAGCATGTCAGTCATCTCTGCCGATAGTGGTCCGCTTTCTTTCAAATATTGCCGAAAGTGAAGAATCTTTACGGCTACTGCAAGGAGAGAATGTATTCTCTTGCAACGATTGTAGTGTTTCCCTGTAAGGAACCCATTACATGAGCCTTGAGCCAACACATCAGTATTACTTAGAATTTGCGGTCCACCAGAACCATCCAGAAAATGACCCAAACATGCAAAGTATGCCATCATTATGTGAAATGGTCCAAAGCAAATGAAAACATTGTCAAACCTCGGGGCCTCTGTGCACTGGATCTGTAAAGCTGGTTTAGCAATTGCCAAATCATAATGGACTATGATGCCTTCCTGATGACATTCTGCAGCAACTTGTTGTGACCTTTTGAGGGTTTCTCTGACAACATCAAGTCTAGTTGGCGGTAATTTGATGTTCTCCATGTACTGAATTGTCTGTCGTGGCAAGTTATCAACTGTAACTAACGAATTCCACCCAAACCACATAGGAGTAGCGCAACAGACATCATCCAGAGAGCATCACGACGTGTCCCCTGAAGTGTGTTTGCAGTAGCCTCGTTGTTGTATGTGCTATAGTCAAATGTGTTCATCACTGGCTTTCCTCTGTATGGTTCGAGAAGTCTTTCCTTTGGAATGAATTTCCTCTTTTTGGCTGAATTTCCTCTGCTAATATTGCCGCTTCTCTTAATACCCACACCGGAATGTTTAGAAGGTTCATTACATGTATGAGCTGCTTGGTCACATCTGTCCTCATTGCCATCAATCATTTCTTCAGACTGCAGAACATTTTGGTAACATATACCGAAGGTATCATGTAGTGTGCCCTTTCCTGAAAATGTGTTGGTAATTTCGTCAAAGTTATCCCATGCTACTGCTGTTGACAACCCACTCATCTTCAGGATACCATCAGGAGTAATGTTCCCTCTTGCAGATACATCTGTAGCAAGCTCGGTTTCATACTCCTCAGCCTTGTGGTAATTGATCGAATGCCCAAAATGGTTTAAAATCTCCAATAACTTCCTACTTCCAGTCAAGCTTTTCATTCCAAGCCCCATAGTGATATGTTTGGATGGATTTATTTCCCCTCTAGTCACCATGAAGACTGCGTCATCAGCTGAAGATTGAACATATCGTTCGTTTTTTGTTGATGATTCAGCAAATTTGGATACGTACAAAGTCTTGAAGAATGTAAGAAGCAATGGCGGAGTTTCTGCTTCTCCTGCATAAATGCTATCCAGTTTTAATGGAGAAGGAAGCTTTAATAGTAGCCGATTCTTTGAGCTTCATGATTTCTGATCTTATCTGGAGTGCGGCTTCAACCACATGATATTCGTCTGACGATACCGTTTGTTTTGCTTTCTCAAATGCGGCTTCCTTTTCAAGTCCAGTTCTAAAGACAAGTATTCCACCTTTAGATGATTCCTTTTCAAATGATAGCTGAGAATGAAAGTGTCGTTTGATGACATCCGCAAAAAAATTATCAAATTATTACAATTTTCTTGTTTTATTTTCATTTTAATATTGCTTTCCAGAGATTTATATGTTAAATGTTGTTGTGAATTATTATAATGTAAGTGCAATATCTCACAAATACTTACCATTTTGAAGTTGATTCACACTTGACCAGTTCACAAAATGTTCAACAAAACTTTGAACCAACCACAGAACATGAACTATCTTGCAATGGCCAATAGAGGGCACGTGACATTTTTCTGATTAGGATCTTGTTGGCACTGGGAGTGTTATCTTTGGAAGTCAATAACTTTTTAGTAAGAGAAGTAATGAATATGAAATTTTCACAATGTAATAAATGAATATAAATGCATTTTTTACAGTAATTCTTTAGGATTTTCATTCTTTCCTCTTTTTTTTTACAGATACGAACAAAAAGTGATAAATTATGATTTTAGTAAAAAAAGTCCAAAAATTACATTTTAAACCCTAAAAAAGGTTCAAAATATCATCAAATATTATAAATATGTATGTCAATGCGTAGTCCACATCTGAGAGGGAGCTTATGTAGGCTTGGCAGCGTAGACGTTCCATGGCTTCCATGATGCACTTGTGAGCTT